GCATGATGAAGGACTTTGAAGCCTATTCAAAAGTATTCTGTAAAGGGAAGGGGGTGAATAGTTTGAAAACATACATTATTTGTTTATAGTCCAATGAAAAGCAATGGAAAAGCCAGCACTTTTTTACTTTTACATTGCAAATATTTTTGTATTCAATCACTGGAAAAACAATGAATGGATTTGATTTTCTAAAGAAATTATTAACAATTTTGCTGACAAATTTGCATCGTAAGAGTAAAAGATTGGGCAGGCTTCGCCCCTGAGAAAAGTGGGTCGATGCTTCATACAGGTCCATGGGCCCTGATACATACGTAAGTAGCTACATGGATTTAAAATCAAAATTACAAACAGCCAATTTTTTTCTTTTCCTCTAATTTATCATGTTTATACATGGTCTATGTCTTGATTGTGTAAGCTGTCAGGTTTGCACGTAATTATCAATATTGTTGATCTTTGATGAGGTGGTATGGACAACAAATCGTCGGGTTATAATTTCTTTTCCTGTGTCAATTTTGAAATAAAGGGACAAAGGACAAAACGATTCTGTGCTAATGTGATCTATTATTACCCTTTAATAATATTTAGTGTCCTATTATTAATATTCAGAATTTCGTATTCGCTGTTCCTAATCCAAAGCATTTTAAAAGATGCTGACCAAAGTCCTGGTGTTAATTTAAAAATAATGTATGATATTAGATGTGTATTATCATCACATTTAAAGGTATCTTAATGTTGGCATGTATGATGTGGGACATGTTCATTCACCAACTAAACTTTGAATAAATTGGTACCGTTCTAGGCAAACAAGAGGCATGACATTTTGTCAAAAGTGTCAATTTCGGTGCCGATATTTCATTGTTGACGTCGAAGCTTAAAAAATGTCTACAAGTTAAAATTAAAACGCAACAAGAAATGAAGGATTTATTTAGCGAACTACCTGGTAAGTAGTTCTGGTAGGTTAGAAGTTTCTTACGTTTTCTGTGGCCGAAAAGTATTTAAGATTTCTTTTTGCCTAACCGAACTCTCAATTCAATTTGCATCCAAGGAAATACGAATTTATTTTGTTTGTTAGTGACGTACGATCCTGAAATTGTTTGTCAGTGGGAGGCCAGAGAGAAGGAAATTATGTCAAGAGTCTACCCAGGTATATAATGTCATTCATGGCAAATAGTTTCATTCTTAACAATTCAGTCTGTAGGATTTAAAGACGTACTTTTTAAATACAGAACATAAAGAAACCACGGAGAACTGGAAAGTGACGTACGTTCAAAAGCTACTGCATTTTAAACAACTAAGGTAGGTTTTTTAATGTACTAAACTGGCTATTTCTCTATAATACATGCCTATAGACGTTTTAATATTTCTTTTGAGCCTAATTGGTGAATTATTAAATTCTTAGTGCTACATCATTCGGATGTTTTGAAGAAAACCAGAAGATAACATCTGAAGATTACTCAATTTATCAGATGTCGAAAAAACTATACCAGTATGTATAAATGTGTCAAAGCAATATTTTGCTTTAAATTTTTTTTTACATACGCGCAAAATTTATGTAAACAGGTTTCGAAAGATTTTAAAAGATATTGAACGAAAGCATTCTGTAAAAGAAAGATGGAAACCTGGTCATCCTAATTTTGACGTCGTTGCATTGCAAGTCATACAAAGAAAACGAAAAGATACTGTCGGAGCTTTACATGGACTTTCCATAGAAAGGCATTTCTTAATAACATTGAGAAAGAAGTATGCAGGTACTGTAATGCACTGTAAATTTCGAATACTTGTAACCTAAGCTATGTTACCATATCTGTCTTTTGTTGTTCTTGTAAATGTTAATTTTGTATTCCTTTTACTTGTTTAGATGGTCAGAAAATTGCCACTCGCTTGTCCAGGCAAATCACCAAGATCACGAACAAGATGAAATTAACAATTGAGAAACACAATGCTGCCATTGATTCTCTTCGTGATTTTATAAACAGTTTACCCGATCGTCTGACATTTGACAAAACGAAAGATCCTACATCAGACCTTTATGAGGGATTTGAGTCTGGTGAGGATGACATTCTAGGGAATCCTCGGTCCCAGTATACACAAAGAGGAAAGCTATTGAAATGTACTTAATCCTAAAACGATGTGACGAGGAAGAGAAACTTTTAAACTTGGAAAGAGAAAGGCTTCTATTGTATTACACCAATCTTATCTCAAAATTGATGAAGCACTTGCTGATATTGGTGATTTGAGCAGCGATGAATTCATGCTTGGTTCAAAGCATGAACTGATAAGATTTAAAACCAAATTGCGGAATGAGTTGTTCAGCTTGAAGAAAAGTTTTGAGCTTCCACTTGGAGAAACTTTTCTTCTCCATGCTGAGATTGTCAACTTAACCAATGATGTCAACATTCCCAATGAATCTGAAAGCTCACCGTATGAGGAATCCGATACTGAAGATGAAAACATCGAAGAGCTCTCAGAAGTGGACAGTGACATTGAATAGACGACATAGCTACTATTCGTAAACTAATAGCTACTTTTTATGTACTTACTATGTAATTTAGTTGTTCACGTATCTAGTATAACTGATATCACGCAAACATTTGGTTTTGTGACGTCATGTTAGTGCACAGTCATTTTCTCTTCTTCTGTACAACACCGGAAGTTTTGACCTGTCGTTGAATGGTGAGAGAACTATGTTCTTTATTATTTATCAATGTCCTACAAGTAAGAGTTTATATGCGACATACATCCCAACCAATTAGCTTCATATTTTGCTCGAGATTAACTCCAAACAGATGACTAACTTTACCGATGTTCAAGCTAACGAAACGATGCGGACGAGAGAGTGCGGTCTGGTTCGGCACCCTTGATGGCACTGCCGCTGTAAGAGGTAAATGAGAAATGAATCCGAATACGTGTTTGGATTGAAATAATATAAAACTCAAAATTATTAATCTACGTTACTGAGCACTGCTTCCATTTCACAGAACACGTAAGCCATTTTACAGATCGAACACTCTTGTCATGTTGCACGCCTACCATAATCTATGCACGTATTACGTATCACGCATTCTTGCCGTGAGCTTGAAATACTCTCTACGCAATACCAACCCTCCCTACAATCACATTCTAAAGTAACATTCTGATGTTAAGAAAAGAACGTGATCGTTTTTTTTGGGGTTGTTTTTATTATAAGGTGCTACATACTCTGCTACTAATAAGGTCCATGCTATAAGGGTCGTTGTACTAACTAAAAAAATCAATATTTTATTTGAAACATAATTTGTTAAAAAATTTAAAGCCACAACTGTCAACTATTTGCTGTAACAAAACATTGCTACTGGCTACTGCATACTTTTGTGTAACAATCACATATGCTCGATGATATTGGATTATGCGGTGCTGTTTATTTCACAAAAAGCACCGTAAAGTGAATATGTCGACGCAGCGGAATTCTCGAAATGTTAAAAGTGGAATTCATTTATGATATATATGTTGCTTTATTTTAAGTGTTCGTTGGTACCGTAAATGAATTTATCAACGGCCAGGGCGTTTAATCAATTCTAGATGTTGTGGTGCAGCGAAATGAAAAGAGAGACCTGTATATTAGTTGTTTGTGTGAACAAATAAAACAAAACTAAGACAAACTAAACTTCTTATAAGCCAAATTGTGAACCCACTATAATTAATATATCATAAAGGTAATGTTGTGAAGGTGGTAGGTGTCTATCGAGGACGGGACTTTATTAGTAAGTAGCGTTGCAAGGAGGGGGGGGGGGCGTTTAATATGTATAAGGTGTTAATTTAATATAGGGCATTTATTAGATCGTTTACGTCACATATGCCCATATATCACAATTTGCCTTATGCAAACCAATGAGACCTTTGGGAAAACTTGAGAGCAGATCAGTGCAAGCAGCAGACCGAAGGTCTGTACGATTGCATCTGCTCGAGTTCCCACAAACGGCTTCAAGGTTTGCATAAGCCAGTGCAACGGTGCAAACACGAAAAACAGTTTTTACCTCTTGTATACAATGATACGAAACAATAATTAGAAACAGATAAATTTACATCGATATGCAAATTTTTTTTGGTTAATAGATTGATTTGATTGGTTGAGTTGAAGTCGGTTTGCACAGGTTAATGCACACACGGCTATAGACCAATCACCGAGCGGGTACTATTGTTTTTATTTTATATATGGACAATGGACATTACTCACATATGTTGCATACTCTTATAAACTGTACTGCCCATATTTATGTCATTTGAGTTGAAGCAATGCCGAAAAAAGATGCATCAAGAAGAAAACATAAACCGTCTCACTTTCGAGAAGCTCGTGCAAATTGGTGAGAATGTCTCCACTTGTGGGGTTTTTTGTCAACCGGAACCCGTGAACGCAGTCGCTTGTGTCCTTAATCGTTATATATGACTTTATTATAGGTTGTGAACTCTGTTTCATCAAGATTCCTTATGTCGTGTAAAATGCTCAGATGTTCTAAAAGTGTTGAGAAATAAATATAAGAGTATATCTGTTCGAGAGTGTGGGTTCATTGTACAAAAGTGTTTTCCTATGGTGAAGCGAATTCATAGCAATCATGTCTACTTTTATTCTGGCATTAGCCACATCGACGCCATTGAAAATGTTAAACAATGTCATACGGAAAATGGTATGGTTTAAAATAGCTAGCGCAGTCCCTAATTAACATAAATTTCAGAGGCACACGATAAGAATAATTTGAGGAAGGGCTTAATTTTTGGTGTTAATTGTATATAATATTGAGAACCTTTTTTTGTTGGGGGGATTGATTTTCCATCTTGAGAAGAGCTACCTTGGACATGGAGCAAACTTTATTTTCTTGTCTCATTTCATAGATTGCTCAACTGAGAATAAGATGCTTTGTGGATTACCTGATTGCATGAGTATCAATCGGTCGGAATTGCTACGTTCCTCATCAAAGAAGCCTACATATTCATTCCCAAATGGGAATTTTGATAGCATGGAGTTATGTTGGTTTAGAGGAATGGCAGTTGCAGTGAGGAAATCTGAGTTTGATGTCATTGAGGAAGCAAGAACTATTCTTAGCCAGGGACGCCGGAACGGCAAAAGGGCAGAAGGGGCAAGCATTTGTGGAAGGGCACATTAGTGAAATATACTAAAAATAATATTATATTGATAAACAGCAAAGAGATGTGCTACATGCAATACACAATACACTGTACAGAAGCACATGTCCGCAGTGTTGGTCGATAAATATTAACGATAATATAACTATCAAACGATGTAACGTCACTAATTCACAATTTGTCATGTATTGTATTTTCCAAAATATTTAATTCTTCTTTCATTTCTCTGTGAAAACTCTTTGGCAATTACGTCTATTTCCACCATATCCATGTGTTGCTTCTGAATGTTGGAGAACATAATATCATTCAGATGATTTCCTTCAGTGTATGACCGCAGCCATGTTTTGAGACGACGCATTACGCTGAATGTGCGTTCGCACGAGGCAGATGAGAGTGGCACTGTGTAGCAGGGGCGGATCTAGAGTATGTCAAATCCGTCGCGCGACTGATGTTTGAAATTCAAAAATTACCTATTCATATTAATTAAAAATTCATTAATTATTCTTATTTTCTTATCGCATTTACTTCGTGATAAAAATCCCGCATTATTTATTATTGAAAACTAATGACTAATCCAATGAATATCTCGTTGGTAACCAGATCAGTTGAATTTTAATTGACCTGGAATAATCGACTGATAAGCGGGTGGCTTGACTGGTTCGACGGATAAAGGAGTCTATGAACGTCAAAAACGCTTATTTTATTGGTCAATAGCCAGATCAGTGGACAGTCTGGAATGGTCTCGACTGATAATAAGGGTGGCCGGACGTATAAGGGAGTCCAATTGCTATCTTACAATTGGTTCATTTGAATTTTTGCTTTATTGTGTTTGACGGATTTCGACTGATAGCCAACTGAACTAACATAGTCAAGCTCACTGTCTGAATTGAATGTTTGATCGTTTTATAGTAATTTTTATAAGCATGAGAGAAACTAAACTACAATCAGATGGAATTTATGGAAATCGTTTACAAATTCATATATTGCCACGAATGATGCTGTCCAAAACTATGTGGATGAATTGTAAATGCTTGGCAAAGACAATCTCGCGAGCGACAATTTAGTCAGTGATGTTCAAACTAAACTACAATCAGATGGAATTTATGGAAATCTTTTACAAATTCATATATTGACATGAATGCTGCTGTCCAAACTGTGAATTTTTTCAAGAGGGTGGAAATTTATGGATAAATTTTAAATGCTTGGCCAAGACGATCTCGCGAGCGACATTTCAGTCACTGATGTTCAAAAGAAAGCCAACATTGTTTTGAGTTTTATCAGCAGAAATTTACATCGAAAATCGTAAGTAAAGGACAAGTGAAGTGTATGCATGAATGTAATATATCAAAGTCAATTATGCGAGTGTGTGATGCGATTTATGTCAATATTGCGTATGGTAAGCAGATCGATGTTACATATTGTCCCCTTTTCTAACTGAACACCTCATGTAGAGATGTAAAGGTGTGTTAATCTACGGCTCATACCAGATTGTTTGCCATAAATTCCAAAGGGCTATTGATGTATGAAAAGCATTTTCTATAAAGTAAAAACATCTTTCTATGTATGCAGATAAACCTTGAAATTTGGCAAAACAGCAAAGTATTTTTCATGATCACTAGGTAATTTTTCTGATGATCATTATAATTTCTAAACTAAATTATTTCTGATTTACATTTAAACAAGCTTTGATCATATGAAAGATATTTATCATAACCAGTAAGCATGACACATGAACCAATTTTAACATTCATGTAATTATATAATTAAAGACATGTTGGTTACATTCTGTTTGTATTTGCAAGTACAATGCTACTAGTGATTGCTATATAGCACACCTTGCATATACTTACAGGAGATAATAGCCTAGTGAAATGCCTAATAAACACATTTATGGCATTAAGCTGTCCTTAACTGCAAATTTTCACTCTGATAATTTTGCTTAACCTTTGCAGAAAAAATTTTGAGTTTTTCTCAAAGGTGAATTTGCTGGCACTGATGTGGAGATGGGTAAAGGATTACAATAAACTTGCATGGTTTGAAGTCTGAGCTTTTCTATATCTATGAACTGTCACTTGTAGTACCAAATTTCTAACTTAACTAAACTCATTACATAGAGGTTTGAATGGGGGTCTCTAGGGGGGTCTATGCCTGACAACTTGGTAGAAATTTTAAAGACTATATCTGTTTTGAATAGCATTATTGTAAAAACGCTGAAAATGGCATTTTCAAGGCTCTGAAATTCAAAATTTCTCAGGGGAGAATGCCTCAGACCCCCAGGTGCGGAGCGCCTTCGACGTTTTATGACTGATGTTTGAAAAATCCTAGATCCGCCCCTGCTGTGTAGTATAGTATAATTAGTTTATGGATCTCTGAGCACCTTTTCTTTGCTGACGGCATGGCATTGAGTATCTCTGCTATTGTTGAAATACGCGGGACTTCTGTTATTTTTTTCTTCTGATCCGCGTTGTAAAGCCCAAGAATGGTGGGAAGATCATCAAGCTGCTTTCTTAGAGCATCTTTATCAATCAAAGAATTGCTTAATCCATCTAAAGATACTCCTCTTTCTTTCATAGAGTTAAGTAACAGTTTCTCGATACATTTGATCTGGAAAAGATCGTCTTGTTCAAATCGCGATCCTTGACCTGAAATGATTGCATCAATGGTTTGGTAGTACGAACTTCGCATTGGTGTTATATTCGCACTGTTGTAAACTTGCATCTGTGACGTGAAGGCTTTCTTTTATTAACATTTCTTCATTATTCATCCATCTTGGAACTTTTCTTAGTCTGGTGCCAGTGCCAAAATTTTCACTAAATTCCAGTGGAAACGACATCATAACACGAAAACTTTCTTAGCGTCATCAAGTGTACGCTCAAACTCTTCTTCGCTTCTCATCTCATGAAGACGTTGCAGGACATGTCTTATTGAAAATAGAGCGTACTCAGCTGAAATATCAACCGCTTGGAGCTCTTTAGAAAGCTTCTCGAGTAAAGCCAATAGCTTTCTTGTCGCGTTTAAATTAAAGATGACGATTAAGGAAGACAGTTGTCGCCTTAATATTCCTCTAATCTTTGCTTTTGTGTCTGCCGAAATGCTAGGATCTTCCTGCAGTTTTTCAAGGGTTGCATGTAGTCCAGCCGATTTCTCGAAGATGACGTCAGCAGCCTTTACTCTTGTTGTCCATCTCGTTGTAGAAGGACTTTGGAGTCGTAGAACTTTGTAATCGTTTGTTCCTGTTTCGTTTCTAAAATCTGCCTGTATTTCTTCGAACAATAAAATACGTTTTGGATGGGCACCTACGATTGCATACAGGGATTCGCATAAAACCAGTGATGTAGACAATAAATTAGATTGCTTAGCTGCATCCTGTATAATAAGTTCATTGCAGTGACTGAAACAATGAACATAAATTGCGTTTGGTGCAATATCTTCCTTGAGCTTTCTTGCGAGGGATTTCATTGCTGAAGCCCATCAAAGCCTATAGCTGCCATTTTCTGACCTTCCATGCCACATCTGATAAGGATATCTTTGGTGTAGTGCAGAATGCATCAGATGAAAGTCCTTGCGAACATTCATAAATTCCAACAAAATCTTCCGATACTTCGTAATTATCATCACAGGTCCTTACGGAGAAAGACAACTGTTCTTTCTTAGATACGTCTGATGATTCGTCAGCTAGAATTGAAAATGATTCTCTCACTAGAATTTTATCAATCAAATGTCTTCGAGCATTTAATACAATCATCTGTTTCTGCTCGTCCAGGATGTCGTGCAGTTACGTATCGGTTCTCGTCAAGTAAAAGTTTTAGTGCCTTGTCGTTAATAGCTTTATCAAGATTGAACTGATGAATATTAGATTCAAAATCCGTTCTACCTCTAATCGCTATACCTTGGCGTAAGAGGGTTTTTAATGTTTGAAGATGTGAAATTAACCCTTTCCGTCTTAACTGCTGCGTTTCAAGAGCAAGCGAACTGCAGGCTATGCTAATAGACAATTGCCCTTTGTCTGATGTGGCACAAGCTTATTTATGAGCGTAACTGTTTTCATGTTCGTTGAATTTCACAGCCTTTTTCCAGTTATCAAATCCAACTTCATAACTGCCAAACACTCCCTTTATCTTAGAGTGAGTAGAACAAATTTCGCAAAAAGCCTTATTTTTTTCTCGATTGTACACTAGCCACTCATAATTTCGTAACCACTGACCTTGGAAATATCGACCATGCTTCACACTACTTTCCTTGTCTTCACTTGTAAAGTCTTTCTCATGTTTTACCCATGTCGTTTTCATGCATATCTTTTCTGTTTCACCAATCAGACTTTTCGGTTTGTACCATTTTTGTGTTTCACAGTCTGAGGCTTTTTCAGTATTGACAGTTATTACAGTGTCAATTCCGCTTGTTGAAGCAGAATCAAAATCATGGCCTGTGTTTCCTTTTGCAAACAGCGATGTTATTTTAGATTGACCTGGTTTAGCCGCTGCTTTCGCTAATGCTTTTGCTGAATCTTTTTTACATCTTTCTGCTCTTGGCATTGCAGAGAAAGCGATAAGATGCAATAAATATCCCTTTGAAAATCATGAGTGTTTAGGTGACTGAGCCATTTATGCCAGCAGATGTTTACGCTATCTATTAGAGTTAATTATTTACATGTTATTTATACTATCGGTAATTACATAAGTCGAGCTTTCCTTTACGTCATTAGCAGTACTCACTCTTTCATTGCGTTTCAAGTTCTCACGCGTTGCAACCAAAAGAAGAACTAAACAAACAAAGAACTTACAAAACGTACTTAAAACAAAGAAATGTTAAAGGAAAACTAACATAGTTACGACAATTTTATTGCTAAGCTAAAAGAATGCAATATACCACAACGGTTAAGTAGTCTTTATCTTGTATTAAAACAATAAATTATCAACCTGTAGGGCACTTTTGCCCTGCCCACTCCTCCAGGCAAGGGGCCGTTGCCCCCCTTGCCCCCCAGTTCCGGTGTCCCTGTTCTTAGCTTACCATCTCATCCATGTTTTCCAATCTTAATTGGTATTTGTCGGGATGAAAAGCCATTCATTATAATAACAAAATTTTATGGTCATGTAGGAACTGGAGTATACATGTCCTTGGAAGGATTTTGCTATAGTCATGGAATCACGTTTGCCGAGTGGATATCTTTATTAATTGAGATATGGGAAGGCATAGAGTTGATGCATTCTTGTGGATTTGCTCATGGAGGTCTTGGATTTCAAAACATTATTGTTGTGAAACAAAAGAAAAGAAAAAGTTTGGGTGCCAGTATTTCTGAATCTTAATGAAGTCAAAGCTTTATGTGGAAGTATTGACAACAACTTAAGTCAGCAAGACTGCTTAGACTTTGGCATCTTGCTACATAAAGTAACTACTCTCCCCTGCAATAAAAGAAACATGTGCATTATGCCAGCAAGAGAAATTAGCTCAATTGTCCAAAGCTATTTCTTCTGGTTGCAATGCATTGTCAATAGCAAGACGTTTAAAACATATTGCACAAACATAAATATTTTTTACTAATGCATAAGTATCTCAATTATTACAGTTATTTTTACAAAAATGATATCTTATTTGTCCATCCAGTGAATTGTGCATGTCTTTGTGTAGGTGAAAGGTAGAACGCCCCCCTCAAAAAAAATTATTTTTCTATATAATGTAGTTTTTACTTTTGGGCTTTAATCTTCGAAATTTTAATTATAGAATTAGACATTCTGCATGGCTTATATGTGAATAGAAGAATATTACCTATTAAAAAAACATGTTCAATCCAACTAAAACTGACTTATTTACAATCCAACTAAAACTGAAAACTGAGTTGATTACAATACACATATTGCAGTGCTACCTGTTACCATTGTAAACAACGAATTTTTTTTCATTGGTGTGAAATTGAAAACTATATGTATCCCTGTTTTGATAAAATTTGAGTAACTTTCCTTTCGAAGGACTTGTTCAATATGAAGGTTTGGGTATAATCAGTAAACCTATGAGTCTCAAAAATTACATTGCCATTGTCCATAATAATATTTTTTCCAAAGATTGTTTCCTTTTTTTTAATAAGATGGAAGGTATTGCCTGACTCATGATTTAGCCAACATCCTGTCAATTTACCTCTTGCGCTTATCTGGTGCAGAGCTTGTAGAGATCCCGTAAATGAAAAAAGCCAGAACTGACTTTCCTCATCATCACAGTACACAGGCAAAACGACATGATTTGCCTGAGACACATATGCATTCAATTTTTTTTTAACTCTGTCAAAGCTTCTGGACATAACACTTTCCAGTGTGTTGATATTATTTCTTTGATTTCAGAAATGCTATGTGTCTCATTAATATCCAATACCTCCACATCTTCTTTTGATACTTTAAAGTCACATTTTCCGAATACATTACTAAGCAATTCCTTGCAGTCTTCACCAAAATCTTGCAAAGGTGCACCTTCTGACGTTTCAAGAATGAAGGAAATACTGTCCTGGCAGTCCATGATTTTCTGTATTTCCTTTGAGCCATATTATCGTGGCTTCTTTAGGTGAATGTTATCTGGTAGTCCTTCAACATGAAAACCACCAGAAAGATATGGAACGCGAGAACCAGTCACACCTTTGCTTCACCTTTAAGAAAAATGCTCACTGACAAGAACTAACAAACATAATGACTTAACAACATGACTGTAAAAGGGTAATTTTACAAAATTACTCACAGGAAAAAATTTTGTATCTTCCATATACTTTTATTAAAAACAGAGAAGATTTCTTTATGCAGGTGTATCAAAGGTAAAATTAAACTATCACTGTAAGGTAAACACTACCATTCAGGAATATACAGGCAACCTTTGTACATAACTGTTATTAACAACATTATACTGTTTTCAAAAGTATTTAATGAAAAATTTATTCAAAAATTTTTTAAACATGCAGCCATAGAGTGAAACACTTTATCCAGGCCTGTGGTTGTTAAAATTACACCTGTATGGTCACGTCACTCTCAATGGTGAAGACCTGCGTACAAGAATAAATAAAAAATTGACTTACTATACTTCTTGTTAAAGAGCATTCTTACATCCTCATGAGTCCATTTCTGTTTTTCTCGGTCTACATCTACCAAATATAGCATACAAATTTTTTTTTTGCTATACAAACTACAATTTTATCCCAAAAGCTTGCTTCGTGATTTTCACTCTTTTAGAGAATTTAATGAAGAGTGAGAAATCACGAAGCAGGCTTATCAATATAAAATTATAGTTTGTGAATTTTCGTTATAAAAGCATGCTCAATATCTTTATAGATTGAGCAAAATATAAATTCCTAAAAGTAAAATAAAGCATCAACTGTCATTCACCTGGTGATTGCCAAAAGGGGTGAAACACAGTGTAGCAAATGGTTTCATGATATTATATACGTATACCACTTTATCGGATACCAAAAATACTTTAATATTCACCGTTAGAAATATGCTATTTTGAGATGGGATGAACATTTTGCAACCATAGGTAACATGACATTATACTAAAGCTCTGAAACTTAGTCATATGTATCTACTTGAGTACCATCCAGTAACTGGTATCCATGAAACTGGTGCTGACATACCAATAGAAGTTAAACTTTATGCCTATTTTACTCTTTACCAAACATTGCTTGAAACTTGCACAAAACTGCTGGTTCATTGTGAACAAATCTTTTTCCTCCTGATGAACCAAGGACATAAAGCTCTTTTTTCCATTCACCAGTAAGCAGCTAGCCCTGGCAACCAAGATACTCCAAGTAACTGAACTAAAAGAAAAGTAAAATAATTGATAATGGTCACATTAGGCATAAGTACTGCAAAAAGCTATGTATAGTTTGCAACAATATGGACTTTAACAAATGGCATGAGATGACATTTGTTTTTTTTATTGCTACTATATTCTATTTACTATACATAGTTTCTGTTGTTGTTGGTATTGCTATGATAATTATTATTTCTACAAATGTAATGCTATACCATCAATGCTATTGTAATGATCATCATTACTGATGGAGAATTAAACAGAATCTTTTGTTGTCCAAACACTATTCTACATATCCCAAATTATATGACATATATGTCTGCATTACATCTGTGATTAAGACAGTGAAGTACAAATATTGTCATAAAATATCAGCAACAACAGCAACAACAATCATCTCTTCAGTGATTAATCTTCTTGGAACCAAAAGAATTTTACAATCACTTTTCACAGCATTTAGTAACTGTATAAATTTTCAATTTCACACAAAATTTAAACTTCATACTACCATTAAATATAGTTTATTATTATTAAATCATTTCTTCATTTATTTTTTCATAGCCTTATGAAACAGTTCAACTGATACATTCCACACAACCAGAATACTAAAAAGATTTTCATGCCAGATGACGTTCAAGTCAAATTTCATGCCAAAAGAAAAACAAGTTTGCAATAAGAAATAACTTTCTATCTGGTAATCACTGCAACCATGTTTGCACAAAAAATGCATGCTCAAAACAAAGAGTTTTACTCAACATAATGTTATGTTTATTAATTTATGTTAATTTAATAGGATTTACGTTATAAGTTATGTTAATTGTTATAAAGCTAAAATATATAAAAAGGAGTTAACTTGTACTATCTAGGCAGTGGTAAAATAAATACATAAATGAAATATAAAACACTACAGTTGGCGACAAAGATTCGATTCTGATGGACGAAGAAGCCCAAAGTACACAGACAACTGTTGGTTTTAATGTGCCCTTTATGGGACATATGTAAGAATATTCATCTTATCTTTGTAGAAACTATTATAACAAAGCACATAATCCCTTTTTTCCGTGAAGCCCATGGATGTGTTCGTTCATGATGAAAGAGTCATATTGTATAAGGAGGCTCGCGTTCATCACGATTGAGTTATGAGAAAGTTACATTGTAAAAGGTAAAAAGTAAAAAAAAGTATAAACATGCTTAGAGTTTGTTTAAATTATAATTCAAAAAGGCAGAAGTTGTTTGAACCTTTGAAGTATCCTTGGACGTTCTAGTTTCTTTTATGAGAAGAATTCTTGTAAAGAAAAAGACAAATTTTTAAAACAGAAAAATCCCGTTTTCGGTCCGTGCTTCCCGATACCCGTGATAGTTGAGCACTAGAGCGTCGCATGTCAACTAAGGGAACCACATATTCCTTGTTTGTTTGCCATGAAGCATATGGATGGTTTGCTCGTGATACATGAGAAACAATAAATGGAGAGTTAAATCTGAAAGATGAAAAGCGATAAAAATGGTATAAAACATGTTTAAGGTTGTCTTTAATTATAAGTGTCCGATAAAGACAGGGTCATAAGAAGTTAATAGAAACATTGCCTGGTTTTTCTTATGAGAGGAAAACAAAAAGACAAAATTCGAAAGGAAAAAAACCCCGTTTTCGGTCCATGCTTCCCGATACCTCCTTAAGCTCAAGGCATTAGAACGCCGCATGTTAACGTTTCGGTAGGAGATTTCGGCCCCTCCACGCTATCCTACTTGGGAGATGCCAATAGCAAGCTTCCGCCCATCAGAACCTGAGATCACCTGCGATAGGCTTTGCTCAGGGTACGCAGGGAGAGTGCGGTCGCCACCGAAGTGTGGGCCCATAAGCTACTGCATACTATATCGCACCCAGCTTCCACTGCTAGTTGACATCTACTATATGAAGTTTTAGCTTTATATATATATACAAAAATTTAAAGGCGTACGAAAGTTGTGGGATGATTGTTATCGTTACTGCGCATGCGCACATGATTTCTTTGATAATTTGCGACTAAATGAGTTAATTGACACAATTGTAGTGCAAATACGTATAGTTGGTCGTTGTCATGACTATGAACAACTACTCGAGTGGACTGCACATGCTCGAGCAGACTGCGCATGCGCAGATCGTTTCTCAATTAAATTGTTACTAAGCATGCTAGTTACTTCAAAATTGGTGCTAGTAGATGCAGTTGGTCGTTGCCAGACCACGGGATTGGGTATCTGGTGAAGTTGATTGCGCATGCTCAAGCAGACTGCACAAGCGCAGCTGATTTGTGTTGAAACTTGTGACTGAGCGAGCTATTTACTCCAAAATCGGTACTAGTACATCCAGTTGGTCGCTACCATGAGCTTGGAGAGTTTGTGGTGTTGACAACACATGCTCAGACTCTCAATTAATTTGTGACAGAGCGAGCTCTGAAATTGGTGCTTGTAAATGCGCTGAGCAAGTTTTCAATCATATATTTTTGGAATACTCTTTGTTTTCTTATGCTAGTTTTGACAAATGCATATGAAACTCATCAACACTTTGTTACGGCACTCGTAATATCCATGACAACGTTAAAATGTTTTTATTTTCTCTATAATTTAATGCCTGTATATTGCATGTCATATTTAGCTTTTCTTTGAAAAACGGGATTCTTTGGTTTTCAAAATTTGTCTTTTTCTTTACAAGAATTCTTCTCATAAAAAAACTAGAACGTCCAAGGATACTTCAAACGTTCAAACAACTTCTGCCTTTTTGAACTATAACTTAAAAAAACTCTAAGCATGTTTATACGTTTTTTATTTATTACCTTTTACAACGTAACTTTTTCATAACTCTCTCGTGACGAACGAGAGCCTCCTTATACAATATGACTCTTTCATCATGAACGAACGCATCCATGGGCTTCACGGAAAAAAGGGATTATGTACTTTGTTATAATCGTTTCTACAAAGATAACATTTATTAGGCTAAGAAATTTGAAAATAAAAATATATTTGAGTTATTAGCAAATGACAAGTCGAGAATTCATTGATCATACTCATTCCAATTGGTCTGGAACAACCATGACATTTATAATTTTGACCATCCAACCCTTTATCAAGGGCTATATTGTTAATCAACGACAGTATCTTCATACGTCGTTCTTGCTGAACACCTTCAGGTGAAGTAGGATCATCAATAATCTGTTATATACAAAAACATAATTTATCCATAGAATCATAGCAAAGTTACGATGGACAGATGAGAGTTATTAACGCTATAAAACTTAAATTCAATATATCGTATAAAGTACCTCAAATCCCGACGATTTCTCGTATCGAAAGGATTCTAAAGTAAAGATGAAAATTAAGATGAGAAAAGAATTGAAACTAGAGAATTTTTCCAAAAAAATGTTGAACCTGTACACTACCATAAATTCTTCTTCAATGTCTATACTCTAAAAATAATAATCATTAAAACGACAATTTCAAAAAGCATAAAAACTAAGTATTTGTAAATTGGTGAAAGATACAGGATGAACATGAAACCTTCTCAGAAGACGATGGAACGAGACCATAACCATTTGATGTGTTCCTTCAAACAACGTTTGCGTAATCCGTTAGCATACCATGAAAACTAACTTCTGGTTTAGGCGACGCTTTACTAGCAACCTCCTCAACGTCTTCAGGACAATTAACGTATACTGAACTGGTGTCACCAAGGCTCAATGACGATGACCAACCACTAGCCATACCTAATATGTTACCACCAGAGATCTTTCTGGGTAGATCAAGGTTTAGGAACTTCAGACAAGGGTTGTGTTGAGCTGAGAACTAAAAAGAACAAATATGGATAGATGATGAAGTGGAGAACAAGAATAGAGGTTATAGGAATACGTATACCACTTGGTGCTCTTTCAAAGATATACATTACAGGATAACTATGGATCCAAGTAGTCTAAACAACTAGGTACATTTAAGCAATCCATCTTCCCATCGTAAACACAAGTGTCAAAAACGTGATCAAATTACAAAATTCGTGCAATCAAATAGTCGGACATGGTATTGTATTTGTAGAAGAGAGCCAATAAAATAAAAAGATTCTCTTGGCATTTGTAAATATTAGTTTAGAAATACAGATCGACTAATTATAAAGGCAGAAGATGTAGTGAATAAAACCATTTCCCGTCAAATCAAAGGAAAGCTTGGATATGACATGCTATGCAAGTATAAAGTTGTAGAGAAAAATAAAAAACATTTTTAACGTTGTCACGGATATTACGAGTGCCGTAACAAAGTGTTGACGAGTTTCATATGCATTTGTCAAAACAAGCTTAAGTAGACAAAGAGCATGCAGAAAATACATGATGGAAAACTTGCTCAGCGCATCTACAAGCACCAATTTCAGAGCTCGCTCTGTCACAAATTAATTGAGAATCTGAGCATGCGTTGTCAACTCCACAAACTCTCCAAGCTCATGGTAACGACCAACTGGATGTACTAGTACCGATTTTGGAGTAATTAGCTGGCTCAGTCACACGTTTTAAGACAAATCATCTGCGCATGCGCAGTCTCATTGAGCATGCGCAGTCAACTTGACTAGCTAAAGGTCATGGTCATGGCAACGACCAACTGCATCTACTAGCACCAATTTTGAAGTAAATAGCAAGTAACAATTTAATAGAGAAATCGTCTGCGCAGTCCACTCGAGTAATTGTTCATAGTCATGACAACGACCAACTATATGTACTTGCACTACATTTGTGTCAATTAACTCACTTAGTCGCAAATTATCAAAGAAATCATCTGGGCATGCGCAGTAACGATAACAATCATCCCACAACTTTCGTACGCCTTTAAATTTTGGTATATATATATAAAGCTAAAACTTCATATAGTAGATATCAACTAGCAGTGGAAGCTGGGTGCGATATAGTATGCAGTGGCTTAGGGCCCACACTTCGGTGGCGACCGCACTCCCCTGCGTACCCTGAGCAAAGCCTATCGCAGGTGATCTCAGGCTCTGATGGGCGGAAGCTTGCTATTGGCATCTCCCAAGTAGGATAGCGTGGAGGGCCGAAATCTCCTACCGAAACGTTAACATGCGGCGTTCTAGTGCCTTGCGCTTAAGAAGGTATCGGGAAGCATGGACCGAAAACGGGTTTTTGCTTTCGATTTTATTCTTTTGTTTTTCTCATAAAACAAACCAAGCAATGTTTCAATTAACTTCTTATGACCCTGTCTTCTTCTGACACTTATAAATAAAGACAACCTTAAACATGTTTTATACCAATTTTATCGGTTTATATCTTTCTGATTTAACTCTCCCATTTACTGTTTCTCACGTATTACGAGCAAACCATACATATGTTTCATGGAAAACAAACAAGGATTATGTGGTTCCTTTAGTTAACATGCGACGCTCTAGTGCTCAACTATCTAGGCTATCGGGAGGCATGGACCGAAAACGGATTCTTTGGTTTTCAAAATTTATCTTTTCTTTACAAGAATTCTTCTCATAAAACTAGAACGTCCAAGGATACTTCCAAACGTTCAAACAACTTCTGCCTTTTGAACTATAACTTAAAAACTCTAAGCATGTTTATACGTTTTTATTTATTACCTTTACAACGTAACTTTCATAACTCTCTCGTGATGAACGAGAGCCTCCTTATACAATATGACTCTTTCATCATGAACGAACGCATCCATGGGCTTCACGGAAAAGATTATGTACTTTGTTATAATCGTTTCTACAAAGATAACATTTATTAGGCTAAGAAATTTGAAAATAAAAATATATTTGAGTTATTAGCAAATGACAAGTCGAGAATTCATTGATCATACTCATTCCAATTGGTCTGGAACAACCATGACATTTATAATTTTGACCATCCAACCCTTTATCAAGGGCTATATTGTTAATAAGCGACAGTAACTTCATACGTCGTTCTTGCTGAACACCTTCAGGTGAAGTAGGATCATCAATAATCTGTTATATACAAAAACATAATTTATCCATAGAATCATAGCAAAGTTACGATGGACAGATGAGAGTTATTAACGCTATAAAACTTAAATTCAATATATCGTATAAAGTACCTCAAATCCCGACGATTTCTCGTATCGAAAGGATTCTAAAGTAAAGATGAATATTAAGATGAGAAATTTCCAAGAATTGAAACTAGAGAATTTTTCAACAAAAAAATGTTGAAAATACCTGTACACTACCATAAGATTCTTCAATGTCTATACTCTAAAATAATAATCATTAAAACGACAATTTCAAAAAGCATAAAAAAACTAAGTATTTGTAACATTGGTGAAAGATACAGGATGAACATGAAACCTTCTCAGAAGACGATGGAACGAGACCATAACCATTTGATGTGAACTTCTTTCAAACAACGTTTGCGTAATCCGTTAGCATACCATGAAAACTAACTTCTTTAGGCGACGCTTTACTAGCAACCTCAACGTCTTCAGGACAATTAACGTATACTGAACTGGTGTCACAAGGCTCAATGACGATGACCAACCACTAGCCATACCTAACATGTTACCACCAGAGATCTTTCTTGGGTAGATCAAGGTTTTAGGAACTTCAGACAAGGGTTGTGTTGAGCTGAGAACAAAAAAGAACAAATATGGATAGATGATGAAGTGGAGAACAAGAATAGAGGTTATAGAAGACACACTACGTATGCTCATTGGTGTTTCACAAGAGTATACATTACAGGATAACTATGGATCCAAGTAGTCTAAACAACTAGGTACATTTAAGCAATCCATCTTTCCCATCGTAAACACAAGTGTCAAAAACGTGATCAAATTACAAAATTCGTAATCAAATAGTCGGACATGGTATTGTATTTGTAGAAGAGAGCCAATAAAATAAAAAGATTCTCTTGGGGCATTTGTAAATATTAGTTTAGAAATACAGATCGACTAATTATAAAGGCAGAAGATGTAGGAGTGAATAAAAACCATTTCCCGTCAAATCAAAGGAAAGCTTGGATATGATATTATGCAATAAAGTTGTAGAGAAAAAAAAACATTTTTAACGTTGTCACGGATATTACGAGTGCCGTAACAAAGTGTTGACGAGTTTCACATGCATTTGTCAAACAAGCTTGGTAGACAAAGAGCATGCCAAAAATATATGATGGAAAACTTGCTCAGCGCATCTACAAGCACCAATTTCAGAGCTCGCTCCACAAATTAATTGAGAATCTGAGCATGCGTTGTCAACTCCACAAACTCTCCAAGCTCATGGTAACGACCAACTGGATGTACTAGTACCGATTTTGGAGTAATTAGCCTTCAATCACACTTTAAGACAAATCATCTGCGCATGCGCAGTCTCATTGAGCATGCGCAGTCAACTTGACCAGCCTAAGGTCATGGTCATGGCAACGACCAACTGCATCTACTAGCACCAATTTTGAAGTAAATAGCATGCTTAGTAACAATTTAATAGAGAAATCGTCTGCGCAGTCCACTCGAGTAATTGTTCATAGTCATGACAACGACCAACTATATGTACTTGCACTACATTTTGTGTCAATTAACTCACTTAGTCGCAAATTATCAAAGAAATCATCTGGGCGCAGTAACGATAACAATCATCCCACAACTTTCGTACGCCTTTAAATTTTGGTATATATATATAAAGCTAAAACTTCATATAGTAGATATCAACTAGCAGTGGAAGCTGGGTGCGATATAGTATGCAGTGGCTTAGGGCCCACACGGTGGCGACCGCACTCTCCTGCGTACCCTGAGCAAAGCCTATCGCAGGTGATCTCAGGTCTGATAAGGGCCTATTGGCATCTCCCAAGTAGGATAGCGTGGAGGGGCCGAAATCTCCTACCGAAACGTTAACATGCGGCGTTCTAGTGCCTTGCGCTTAAGGTATCGGGAAGCATGGACCGAAAACGGGGTTTTGCCGAATTTTATCTTTTGTTTTCTTCTCATAAAACAAACCAAGCAATGTTTCAATTAACTTCTTATGACCCTGTCTTTCTGACACTTATAAATAAAGACAACCTTAAACATGTTTTATACCAATTTTATCGGTTTATATCTTTCTGATTTAACTCTCCCATTTACTGTTTCTCACGTATTACGAGCAAACCATACATATGTTTCCAAACAAACAAGGATTATGTGGTTCTTTAGTTAACATGCGACGCTCTAGTGCTCAACTATCTCGGGCTATCGGAGGCATGGACCGAAAACGGGATTCTTTGGTTTCAAAATTTATCTTTTTCTTTACAAGAATTCTTTCATAAAAAACTAGAACGTCCAAGGATACTTCAAACGTTCAAACAACTTCTGCCTTTTGAACTATAACTTAAAAAACTCTAAGCATGTTTATACGTTTTTATTTATTACCTTTTACAACGTAACTTTCTATAACCTCTCGTGATGAACGAGAGCCTCCTTATACAATATGACTCTTTCATCATGAACGAACGCATCCATGGGCTTCACGGAAAAAAGGGATTATGTACTTTGTTATAATCGTTTCTACAAAGATAACATTTATTAGGCTAAGAAATTTGAAAATAAAAATATATTTGAGTTATTAGCAAATGACAAGTCGAGAATTCATTGATCATACTCATTCCAATTGGTCAACAACCATGACATTTATAATTTTGAATCCAACCCTTTATCAAGGGCTATATTGTTAATTAACGACAGTAACTTCATACGTCGTTCTTGCTGAACACCTTCAGGTGAAGTAGGATCATCAATAATCTGTTATATACAAAACATAATTTATCCATAGAATCATAGCAAAGTTACGATGGACAGATGAGAGTTATTAACGCTATAAAACTTAAATTCAATATATCGTATAAAGTACCTCAAATCCCGACGATTTCTCGTATCGAAAGGATTCTAAAGTAAAGATGAAAATTAAGATGAGAAATTTCCAAGAATTGAAACTAGAGAATTTTTCAACAAAAATGTTGAAAATACCTGTACACTACCATAAGATTCTTCAATGTCTATACTCTAAAATAATAATCATTAAAACGACAATTTCAAAAAGCATAAAAAAACTAAGTATTTGTAACATTGGTGAAAGATACAGGATGAACATGAAACCTTCTCAGAAGACGATGGAACGAGACCATAACCATTTGATGTGAACTTCTTTCAAACAACGTTTGCGTAATCCGTTAGCATACCATGAAAACTACCTTCTGGTTTAGGCGACGCTTTACTAGCAACCTCCTCAACGTCTTCAGGACAATTAACGTATACTGAACTGGTGTCACAGGCTCAATGACGATGACCAACCACTAGCCATACCTAACATGTTACCACCAGAGATCTTTCTTGGGTAGATCAAGGTTTTAGGAATTTCAGACAAGGGTTGTGTTGAGCTGAGAACTAAAAAAGAACAAATATGGATAGGTGATGAAGTGGAGAACAAGAATAGAGGTTATAGGAGACACACTACGTATGCTCATTGGTGTTTACAAGAGTATACATTACAGGATAACTATGGATCCAAGTAGTCTAAACAACTAGGTACATTTAAGCAATCCATCTTTCCCATCGTAAACACAAGTGTCAAAAAAACGTGATCAAATTACAAAATTCGTGCAATCAAATAGTCGGACATGGTATTGTATTTGTAGAAGAGAGCCAATAAAATAAAAAGATTCTCTTGGGGCATTTGTAAATATTAGTTTAGAAATACAGATCGACTAATTATAAAGGCAGAAGATGTAGGAGTGAATAAAAACCATTTCCCGTCAAATCAAAGGAAAGCTTGGATATGACATGCAATATGCAAGTATAAAGTTGTAGAGAAAAATAAAACATTTTAACGTTGTCACGGATATTACGAGTGCCGTAACAAAGTGTTGACGAGTTTCATGCATTTGTCAAACAAGCTTAAGTAGACAAAGAGCATGCCAAAAATATATGATGGAAAACTTGCTCAGCGCATCTACAAGCACCAATTTAGAGCTCGCTCTGTCACAAATTAATTGAGAATCTGAGCATGCGTTGTCAACTCCACAAACTCTCCAAGCTCATGGTAACGACCAACTGGATGTACTAGTACCGATTTTGGAGTAATTAGCTCGCTCAGTCACACGTTTTAAGACAAATCATCTGCGCATGCGCAGTCTCATTGAGCATGCGCAGTCAACTTGACCAGCTACCTAAGGTCATGGTCATGGCAACGACCAACTGCATCTACTAGCACCAATTTTGAAGTAAATAGCATGCTTAGTAACAATTTAATAGAGAAATCTGCGCAGTCCACTCGAGTAATTGTTCATAGTCATGACAACGACCAACTATATGTACTTGCACTACATTTGTGTCAATTAACTCACTTAGTCGCAAATTATCAAAGAAATCATCTGGGCATGCGCAGTAACGATAACAATCATCCCACAACTTTCGTACGCCTTTAAATTTTGGTATATATATATAAAGCTAAAACTTCATATAGTAGATATCAACTAGCAGTGGAAGCTGGGTGCGATATAGTATGCAGTGGCTTAGGGGCCCACACTTCGGTGGCGACCGCACTCTCCTGCGTACCCTGAGCAAAGCCTATCGCAGGTGATCTCAGGGTCTGATGGGCGGAAGCTTGCTATTGGCATCTCCCAAGCAGGATAGCGTGGAGGGGCCGAAATCTCCTACCGAAACGTTAACATGCGGCGTTCTAGTGCCTTGCGCTTAAGAAGGTATCGGGAAGCATGGACCGAAAACGGGGTTTTTTGCTTTCGAATTTTATCTTTTTGTTTTCTTCTCATAAAACAAACCAAGCAATGTTTCAATTAACTTCTTATGACCCTGTCTTCTTCTGACACTTATAAATAAAGACAACCTTAAACA